CTCTCCACGGTGTCATCCGTCCATCCATCCTGCACGGATCCACCCGCTGCTGCCAAATCTGCTCCGCCTCTTCACAGCAGGATCTGATCCGCTTCATACCACTGGCATTTACCTCTACCACAGCTGGGTGTACTCAGGGGCCACGACCTGGTCTCATCCTGCTCCAATTCCATCCCCACCATCAGGGGCTCTGGTGAATAAGCAGACTGGGGCTTAGACTCCGCGCCCTGGAGAACCCTCGGCCTGTGGATCTCTAGAGTCACTGCCAGTCGGTACCTGACAGCTCCGCTATTATATTTGACATGAAAAAGTATTGCGGTTGCAACAATATATCCATTTGTATCCATTTCAGATACAGATGGTTTTATTCGGATACAAATAGATACATTGTTGCAACCGCAATACTTTTCATTTAAAATATGATAGCTGACTGGAATTCTTCTTTTTCTTCTTGCAGGTCACGGCTCATGCGTAGATTTTTTTATCGATAAAACAATCGGCCGATTTGCCCATCATTGCTGGGAAAATCAGCCGATTTTCTTCCAACTTTACCAATAAAAATAATGTGCCAAAACCCTGAAAAATGGCCGACCAATTAACCCACTAACGGTGCGAAAATTGGCCGATTTTCGACCCATCTATGGCCTGCATTGGAGTGGAACCCATCAGGTATATAGGAAATAAATGTTAGCAGACAGACCCTCCACATTCGGTGGCGATGTTTACAATTCAGATTAAGCAGGACTATCATTGCTTTCCGTGGAATGAGAAAGGTGGATGGCAGAAGGAAATGTCCGTATAATAGAATGAAAAGCAAAATACAAATGTATTTGCAGACAAATCTGTGTCACGTAACCATCATTTTTCAACTGTCAAAAAAAAAAAACCCTAATTTATCCAACTCTCATTTTTTGCCACTGTAAAAAAATTAACTGTCATTTAATATTAACTGTCCTAAAAAATTATAATCCCACTTCATCTCAATTTTAAACATCATCACTTAATGTGGAGAGTATGTCTGCTAAGGATTTAACAGTTGAAAAATTACATTTAATTTTTGACAGTTGAAAACTGACAGTTATTTTTGAGTGGCAAAAAATGACAGTTATTTTGACAGTGGAAAAATGACAGTTAAAACTTGACAGTGGAAAAAAAAATAGTTGAAAAATGAGGCTTTTTTGACAGTTGAAAAATGACAGTAATTTTTGACAGTGCCAAAAAAGGACAGTTAATTTTGACAGTGGCAAAAAATGACCGTTAATAATCAACAGTGGCAAAAAATGACAGTTAAAAAATTGGGTTTGTTTTTTTTTACACGGGCAAAAAATGACAGTTGAAAAATTAGGGTTTTTCGACAGTTGAAAAATGACAGTTGAAAGACGACAGTAATTTTTGACAGTGGCAAAAAATTAGTTATTTTTAAATTGGCAAAACAAATGACAGTTCAAAAATGAGTTATTTTTGACAGTGGCAAAAATTAACTGTCATTTTTTTTCACTGTCAAAAATAACTCATTTTTCAACTGTCAAAACCTCATTTTTCAACTGTCATTTTTTGCCACTGTGAAACAAACTGTTATTCAACTGTCAAAAATTTTTGTCATTTTTTTTTCACTGTCAAAACATTAACTGTCATTTTTTGCCACTGTCAAAAATTAATCATTTTTTTCACTGTCAAAAACCTCATTTTTCAACTGTCATTTTTTTGCCACTGTCAAACATTAACTGTCAACACATTAACTGTCACTGTCACTAATTTTTCAACTTTTTGCCACTGTCAAAACATTAACTGTCATTTTTCATTGTCAAAAATGTAATTGTAATTTTTTTGCCACTGTCAAAACATGAACTGTCATTTTTTGCCACTGTCAAAAAAATAACTGTGAATTGTCATTTTTTTGCCACTGTCAAAAAAAATTAACTGTCAAAAATAACTGTAATTTTTGCCACTGTCAAAAGTTAACTGTCATTTTATTTCACTGTCAAAAATGAATGTCACAGTTAACTGTCATTTTTTTGACAGTGGCAAAAAAAAATGACAGTCATTTTAACTGTGTTGACAGCCACTGCAAAAAAATGACAAAAATTAACAGTTAATTTTTGACAGTGAAAAAAATGACAGTTAATGTTTTGACAGTGGAAAAACAGTTATTTTTGACAGTGAAAAAAAATGACAGTTCTTTTTGACAGTGGCAAAAAATGACAATTCATTTTTGACAGTTGAAAAAATGACAGTTAATGTTTTGACAGTGGCAAAAAATGACAGTTAATGTTTTGACAGTGGCAAAAAAATGAAAATTAATTTTTGACAGTTGAAAAATGACAGTTAATGTTTGACAGTGGCAAAAAATGACAGTTGAAAAATGAGGTTTTGACAGTTGAAAAATAGTTATTTTTGACAGTGAAAAAAAATGACAGTTAATCTTTGACAGTGGCAAAAAATGACAGTTAATGTTTTGACAGTGGCAAAAAAAAATGACAGTTAATTTTTGACAGTGGCGAAAAATGACCGTTGAAAAATGACAGTTATTTTTTACAGTGAAAAAAATGACCATTAACTTTTGACAGTGGCAAAAAATTACAGTTGAAAAATTACAGTTATTTTTGACAGTGAGAAAATGACAGTTAATTTTTGACAGTGGGCAAAAAATTACATTTTCTCACTGTCAAAAATAACTGTAATTTTTCAACTGTAATTTTTTGCCACTGTCAAAAGTTAATGGTCATTTTTTTTCACTGTCAAAAATAACTGTCATTTTTCAATGGTCATTTTTCGCCACTGTCAAAAATTAACTGTAATTTTTTGTTACTGTCAAAAATAATTGTCATTTTCAACTGTCAAAAAAAACCCCTCATGTTTCAACTGTCATTTTTCGCCACTGTAAATTTTTTGCTACTGTCAAAAATTAATCAATTTTTTGCCACTGCCAAAAATTAACTGTAATTTTTTTGCCACTGTCAAAAATGAACTGTAATTTTGTTACTGTCAAAAATAATTCATTTTTCAACTGTCAAAAAAACCCTAATTTTTCAACTGTCATTTTTTTGCCACTGCCAAAAATAACAAATTTTTTGCCACTGTAAAAAATTAACTGTCATTTTTTGCCAGGGTCAAAAATTTACTGTCATTTTTCAACTGTCAAAAAAAAACCTCATTTTCAACTGTCATTTTTTGCCTCTGTCAAAAATAAGTTTTTTTTTCAACTGTCAAAAAAAATAACTCATTTTCTGCCACTGTCAAAAATTAACAATTCAAAACATTTACAGTTGAAAAAGGTTTTTTGACAGTTCAAAAAAGACAGTTACACAGGTTTGTCTGCAAATACATCTTTGCAATATATATCTTTGTATTTTGCTTTTCTTTCTATTATATTCCCTTCTGTCATCCACCTTTCTCATTCCACAGAAAGCAATGATAATCCCACTTAATCTCAATTTTCAGCATCACCGCGGAATTCACAGAGTATGTCTGCTAAGGATTTATTTCATACGTCTGATGGTTTGGATGTCGTCACAATTTGCTTCCCATTATACTCTATGCAGGGGTGGGCAACTGTGGCCCTCCAGCTGTTGTAGAACTACAAGTCCCATGAGGCATTGCAAAACTGACAGTTACAAGCATGACTCCCAAAGGCAGAGGCATGATGGGACTTGTAGTTCACCAACAGCTGGAGGGCCACATTTGCCCACCCCTGATCTATGTTATACCTTTGTGTCATTCCAGAGGAAGCAGCCATAATCCTAAATAATATTCTCACAATCTGCTGCCCTCCTCGGGGAACCCCTGTGGGGAAGCTGGAATTGTTGTGTTTCTTAGATTTGTCTGCAAATGAGTTCATATTTTGCTTCCCATTGTATTCTATGAGCATTCCTTTCTGTCACTTTTGTCATTCCATAGAGAACAATGATAATCCCACTTTATGTATTTTATAACATCATCACTGAACGTGGAGAGTATATCTGCTAAGGATGTATGTGATGTCTGATGGGTCTGACCCCATTATTCTCTATGGGCATTCCACTGCTCTGTTAAAGTCTATGGGCATTCCATTCTGCCATTCCTTTTAGTATGTTCCCTCTATGTGCGTCTCCTTCCATTCCATCATTTTCTATTGGCATCTCCTTCCGTTCCATTGTTCTCTATGGGCATCTCCTTCCGTTCCATCGTTCTCTATGGGCATCGCCTTCCCTTCCATCGTTCTCTATGGGCATCGCCTTCCCTTCCATCGCTTTCTATGGGCATCTCCTTCCATCGTTCTCTATGGGCATCGCCTTCCCTTCCAATCGTTCACTATGGGCATCGCCTTCCCTTCAATCGTTCACTATGGGCATCGCCTTCCCTTCAATCGTTCACTATGGACATCTCCTTCCCTTCAATTGTTCTCTTTGGGCATCTCCTTCCCTTCCATCGTTCTCTATGGGCATCGCCTTCCCTTCCATCGCTTTCTATGGGCATCGCCTTCTTCAATCGTTCACTATGGACATCTCCTTCCCTTGTTCTCTATGGGCATCCTTCCCTTCCATCGTTCTCTATGGGCATTCCTCCTTCCCTTCCATCGTTCTCTATGGGCATCTCCTTCCCTTCCATCGTTCTCTATGGGCATCTCCTTCCCTTCCATCGTTCTCTATGGGCATCGCCTTCCCTTCCATCGTTCTCTATGGGCATCTCCTTCCCTTCCATCGTTCTCTATGGGCATCTCCTTCCCTTCCATCGTTCTCTATGGGCATCTCCGTCCGTTCCATCGTTCTCTATGGGCATCTCCTTCCCTTCCATCACGGTCTATTAGCATCTCAGTCCGTCATTCCCGTTAGTATGTCCCATTCAGGTCCCGGGGTGAGGTGATCCATCCCTCACACACAAGGCTCGGTTCGGTACCGGAAGTCAGGTCAACTGCGGTCGTCGGATCTCTCCGCCCCCCGGTACCTGAGCGGTCCAGCCGGGATTTCCAGGGGACCCATTATAGGCGGACACTCTCCCTCTCACTCCCCCACATATCGGACATGGCGGCGTCCACTCCGGGTAGAAGCGGCCCCCGGGCTCACCCGGCTCCATCCCCGGGCAGTCCGACTCGCCTGTCCCGCCTGCAGGAGAAGGAGGAGCTGCGGCACCTGAATGACCGGCTGGCCGCGTACATCGAGCGGGTCCGGTCTCTGGAGGCGGACAAGTCTCTGCTGAAGCTGCAGCTGGAGGAGAAGGAGGAGGTGAGCTCCCGGGAGGTGACGACCCTCAGGCTGCTCTATGAGACCGAACTGGCGGACGCTCGGAAACTGCTGGACCACACCGCCAACGAGAGGGCCCGACTGCAGGTGGAGCTGGGCAAGACCCGCGAGGACCACCGACAGCTACAGGCCAGGTCAGTGCGGGCACACCGGGGGCGGGGGCCGGGTCACCGGGGGCGGGGCCACTGGGTCATGAAGAGAAGGATTGGGTTATGGGGGGGATAGATTATGGGGGGAGGTCAGTCAGTGGTGGAGGAGGGGATGACTACATTGGGTCATTGGGTTATGGGGGGGATGGATGATGGGGGGGAGGGCAGGATCAGTGGTGGGGGAGGGGATGACTAGGTCATTGGGTTATGGGGGGATAGATTATGGGGGGAGGTCAGGATCAGTGGTGGGGGAGCGGATGACTAGGTCATTGGGTTATGGGGGGATAGATTATGGGGGGAGGTCAGGATCAGTGGTGGGGGAGGGGATGACTAGGTCATTGGGTTATGGGGGGATAGATTATGGGGGGAGGTCAGGATCAGTGGTGGGGGAGGGGATGACTAGGTCATTTTGGGTTAAGGGGGGATGGATGATGGGGGGAGGGCAGGTTCAGTGGTGGGGGAGGGGATGACTAGGTCATTGGGTTATGGGGGGGAGGTCAGGATCAGTGGTGGGGGGGAGGGGATGACTAGGTCATTTTGGGTTAAGGGGGGATGGATGATGGGGGGAGGGCAGGTTCAGTGGTGGGGGAGGGGATGACTAGGTCATTGGGTTATGGGGGGGAGGGCAGGGTCAGTGGTGGGGGAGGGGATGACTTGGTCATTGGGTTATGGGGGGAGGGGATGACTAGGTCAGTGGGTCATGAAGTTGCCTGGGTCATTCTCAGAGGGCACTTTGTCATTGGAGGGGCTGTGTTGGGGTGAGATCATGTGAGGAGGGGGCTGGGTCACTATGGTGGGGTAGGTTATTGATGGGACTGCCCCCCCCCCTCCCCCCATTTAGATCAAATCCTCCTGGACTTGTTCACATTAGCTTTGTTCTTTGAAGAGCAATTCACATTCAGATCTCTTTTCAGAGACAGGTGATGAGGGAGTTTTGTATCCTCATCTCACCCTCCTGCTTTACCACCTTGAACCCCACGCTAGCACCCTCATGGATTGGGGTTTGCATAGCGTCCCCATTCACTTGAGCCCCCATTCACACTGATTCAACTTGTCATATGATCTGCCAGCTCAAAATCACATGACAAGTCGCACCCTGTTTGTGCCTAAGGAACCGTTCACACCGTTCGCTGCGACTGACTTGTTCCTATTTTGAAAAATGTTCCCGCACTTTTTTGGCGATTTCTTGTGCAGCTTGCATTGACATTTGTGTCAGATTTGTGTCATTTGTGCAGATGTCGGCAAGGCGCACAGGAAATCGCACTGAGCGGCAGGTTTGACATTGCGCTACTTCAGCTGATGTATTGTGAGTTCAAAGCTGCGTTCAGTGTGAGCCAGGGCTGAATGTCACATTTGGTGGGTGATAGTACCCACTAGAAGCAGCGGGGGATCTCAGTCCTTCTGGGATTATGAAGCGAAGTATTGAGGCCACAGAATGTGTACACTCCCGGGCGCTGCCTCCGCAGCTATAGGAGGAGCAGTTGGGGTGGTGGAAAAAGCGCAGTTCAACTGTGAGGTTTTACTGCCCCTCAACTACTAGTGTGAACGAGCCCTTTGTTCCTCTCTTCTTGCCTTGTACCTCATTCTGGACTGATTCATGTCCTTCTATAGCAGTGATCTCCAAACTGTAGCCCAGAGGCCAGATGCGGCCCTTTGCTTGCTTTTATCTGGCCCTCAGGGCATTAATCCTCCCACTGCTAGCAACAGTGTGGCATAATTCCTACCACTGATACTCACAATGGGGCACCAATATTCCCACTGACACCAATGATGGGGCACTATTCTTTCTACTGACGGGGCGCTGTTCTCTCCTCTGCCGCCGGCGACGGGGCGCTGTTCTCTCCTCTGCCGCCGGCGACGGGGCGCTGTTCTCTCCTCTGCCGCCGGCGACGGGGCGCTGTTCTCTCCTCTGCCGCCGGCGACGGGGCGCTGTTCTCTCCTCTGCCGCCGGCGACGGGGCGCTGTTCTCTCCTCTGCCGCCGGCGACGGGGCGCTGTTCTCTCCTCTGCCGCCTGGGCGCTGTTCTCTCCTCTGCCGCTGGGGCGCTGTTCTTTCTGCTGCCGCCAGCGACAGGGCGCTGTTCCCATTGACATCAGGACATTTTCTTCTTCCCCTGGCTACAGTCCAGCCACCATAAAGTTTGAAGGACAGTAAACAGGCCCTTTGATTAGGAAGTTCGGAGACCCCTGCTCTATGCTCCATATACACTAAGTATTCTCTTTCTCCAAACCTCTATTTTTTTCCAGTATGCAGAAAAAGCTGCAGTGTTTAAAAAAAACAAAAAAGAAAAACTTGTACTTATCGATGGTGAATGAAGTAAATGTCTTCTGGTGCACAGGTCTCCAAACTTTCTTAACAAAAGGCCAGTTGCCTATCCTTCAGACTTCAGGAGGGCCAGACTTTGGCCATTGGTAGTAGAAAAGGTCCCAACGTAATTGGGAATAATCGGTGCCTCATTGTTGCTGTCAGTGGGTGGAATTCTGCCCCTTTATCGGCGTTGGTGGGGGGAATTATGCCCCACTGTTGGTAGTAGATGACAATTTTGCCCCAAGGGCCGGATAAAAGCAAGCAAAGAACCACATCTGGCCCCTGGACCACAGTTTGGAGACCACTGCTCTAGTGTAAGATTCCCAGCGTTTTCCTCAAGCCCATGGGGGCTGCAAATGGGACATACAGCTGGCTAGAGAAGTGAATGTTTGTATGCGTGGGGGGGGGGGGGACTGTGTTAAGTGCTTTGGTGTAACTTAATGCTTTGGCACTTTTTTTTTTTTTTTTTTTTTTTTTCTTTTTTCACTAAAACTTTATCACATAGAGGACCAAATATAATGGCTTTATGACAGGTTCTCTTTGAGATGTATGATTTACACTATATTGCCAAAAGTATTGGGCCAGCCCTCCAAGTCATTGGATTCAGGTGTTCCAATCACCTCCATGGCCACAGGTGTATAAAATCATCACCTAGGCATGCAGACTGCTTCTACAAACATTTGTGAAAGAATGGGTCGCTCTCAGGAGCTCAGTGAGCCTGGGTTCACATATGTGTGATATATCGCATGTGATTTGCACAGAAACTGCACCGCATTCCTGTGCAAATCACATGCGATTTGTGTGCGGTGAGATTGGAGCCATACATTTCTGTATGGCTCTAATCACACCGCACTCACACCAAAAAGGTGCAGTGCCCTTTTTTTGGGTCCGCACTTGAATTGGATCACATGGGTATTCACATCTATGCAATCCGATTCTGCACATCGCAGCACGTTTTGCGGACTGCTTTCAGGGTCTTAACATGCACACCCGCAGCGGTTCGCATGAACGGGGTGTGATTCTGATGCGGTGCGGAATTCGCACAGAAAACGCTGTGAATTCCTCACTGCATCAGTGTGAATCCAGGCTTAATTTAAGCGTGGTACCGTGATAGGTTGCCACCTGTGCAATAAGTTCTTCCATGACATTTCTTTGCTACTAAATATTCCACGATCAACTGTTAGTGGGATTATAACAAAGTGGAAGCAACTGGGAACAACACCAACTCAGCCACCAAGTGGTAGGCCATGTAACATGACAGAGCGGGGTCAGCGCATGCTGAAGTGCGCAGAAGTCGCCAACTGTCTGCAGAGTCAATAGCTAAAGACCTCCAAACTTGGTGTGGCCTTCAGATTAGCACAACAACAGTGCATAGAGGCGTTCATGGAATGGGTTTCCATGGTCGAGCAGCTGCATCCAAACTTTACATCACCAAGTATAATGCAAAGTGTTGGATGCAGTGGTGTAAAGCATGCCGCCACTGGACTCTAGAGCAGTGGAGGCGTGTTCTCTGGAGTGACCAATAATGTTTCTCTGTCTGGCAATCCAATGGACTTGTCTGGGTTTGGCGGTTGCCAGGAGAACGGTACTTGCCTGGCTGCATTGTGCCAGGTGTAAAGTTTGGTGGAGGGGGGGGGGGATTATAGTATGGGGTTGTTTTTCAGGGGTTGGACTTGGCCCCTTAGTTCCAGTGAAGGGAACTCTTAAGGCGTCAGCATACCAAGACATTTTGGACAATTTCATGCTCCAACTTTGTGGGAACAGATTGGGGATGGCCTCTTCCTGTTCCAACATGACTGCGTACCAGTGCACAAAGCAAGGTCCATAAAGACATGGATGAGCGAGTTTGCGGTGGAGGAACTTGAGTGGTCTGCACAGAGTCCTGACCTCAACCAGATAGAACACCTTTGGGATGAATTGGAGCAGAAACTACTAGCCAGGCCTTCTCGCCCGACATCAGTGCCTGACCTCAGAAATGTACTTCTGGAAGAATGGTAAACATTTCCATAGACAAACTTCCCAGAAGAGTTGAATCTGTTTATTGTTGCAAAGGGTGGGCCAACAGAATATTGAACCCTACGGACTAAGACTGGCAGTATACTGTATGTTGGTGGCAGTAAAAGGGTTAGAAGCTTTTACAGGTCATTTGTTTAGAGTTAAAGTAGAACAATGGGCAAAGCTTTCCCCCCCCCCCCCCCCCCTTCATTTTGGATAGAGAAACAGAGGGTTATAACCACTGGCAGTTTATTTTTTGCCATTTGTGTAACCAAAGCAGGAAGTGAGAGGAAATCCCTGCAAATTAAGGGAATTCCTTGGGGACTCCCAGGTCAGCAGAACTAGTGACAACCCAAAATTTGGGGTTTCTTCTGCTTTCACTTTTGATGATAATGGTAAACAAGACATATAGAGGGTGAATCATCTTAACGGGGCAACAGACAGCAATAAAAACTGCCTGTTCTAATCCATCTCCACCCTATCCAAGCCTAAAAAGTTTACTTTAGTTTTCTTTACTTTTTACTTTAACTGAATCTCTCCAGAATTAATGCTCTCACTCAGTCGCACTGTGTGTGCAGTGCGGTTGATATTTTCGTATATGGAAGCCTCTGTTGTGTGCATGTACAGGTGGAACTCGAAAAATTAAAATATTGTGCAAAAGTTCATTTATTTCAGTAATGCAA